TGGTTGTGGTGGTAGTGGTGGTGGTGGTGGTAGTAGCAGTAGCAGTAGTAGTAGTAGTAGTAGTTGTTGTAGTAGTAGTAGTAGTAGTAGTGAGTAGCAGCAGTAGGTAGTGGTAGTGGTAGCGGCAGGGGTCGTGGTCGTAGTCGTGGTGGTGGTAGTGGTGGTGGTGGTGGTCGGCGCGGGTTGGAGTGGTAGTATCCGGCAGACGTACTTCGTGCAAAGCTACTGCCCTATGCCTAGGCCTCTGTTGCTGCTATTCAGTGTGCGGTGAGAAAGCGTTGCCGGCAATAGTCGCGAGAGAGAGACAGATTTGGAGTGGCAGGTGTCGGACGCGGGGCTTTCTGTTCCAGGCCTGAGCAACACATGCCGGTTGTGCTGCATGGTAATGCTAAAGTTTTTTCATGGCTTTTATATTGCAGACAATGTTTTGACCAACATCGTCATCGAAATAAAGCTTGAACAACACTCCAACTTGAGATTTTTAGCTGGACCTCCGACTCCGAATGAAGACAAGCGGGTGCAGCTTCCGAAGTCGTTGTCATTGTCATCATTGTTCGCGCTGGCAATGCGAGACGGTCTCTACGTTGCCGATAGCTAAAAGCGCTCGACTGAATGCGTTGCCGAGACGTGTGCAAACATAATCTTAACTTGCGCTGCCCTTGGCCGAAGGACGAAACAACTAGCAGTGTATTTTAGCGTCACAGTCTACAGTCTTTACCGAATGTACCTAAGTGTGCATCGTTTGCTGTGATGGGAAACTAGAGGCGGAGAGTATTGTCTCAATATATTTCGCTCTGCTTGGTGATTGTGCCAGATGACATGCATGTTCGATTATGTCGTTGGTGCCCTCCCGGTCCTTGCATTTGGAGGAAAAATTGCAGGAGAAATAGATCACTCCCGACTAAACAGCATCGCAGACAAAAAGAATCAGGTTTCTGTCCTTGTGGGCCGCTGCATGACCACCATGTCACTTCATTGACCTCGCAAGGCCCTAAATGAGGAGAAGATGAAGAAAACTCAATTTCTGAATCCTGAATAAATGAGGATCCTTCTTTATCAGAAGAAGATGCATGGATGGGTTTTTCTGACTTCAGCTCCGTAATGCAATGCTGCAGAGTGTATCCGTGTTTGCTACACTGTCACCGCAGTCGGTTGCTGTTGCGGTGTCGTTCCGTCGTGGCATGTGTTTGTCCTTTTCCTTGTTGCTGCTGCTGTTGCAAGGGTGGGGGCGAGAGTGCGAGGTAGCTACGTGTTTTTGTTCACGTGTGTTTTGTACTGCTTTGGAAAGCTTAGCGCTTGTCCCCGCATTGCTTGCATCCTTAGCGACCGGCTTAAGCT